ATTGGGAAATTTTACATTTTCAACAATTTTTTTTTGTATAATTACAAATTATTGTTTTTTTTAATTTCATATTTAATTTTTTATAATATATTTTCTTATTTTTAGCAAAGTGACAGTGATATGAAATTCATATGTGGTCCATATTTTCAAATAGTATATAATTTGGTTAAACGTACTAAATATGGGTAAAAATTTTATTGAATATAATTTTTTTATACATTTTAGTTAAAACAAAATATTTTTGTAAAGTATATACAACATGATATATATTTTCTAATTTATAAAAAAAATATTTCTTTTTTAAAATAGCGCAATACCAATTATAGTATATGATGATTATTTGAATTGTTCAAATTGTAATAATTTAAATATACATCAATTATTACAAAAATATGCACAATATAATGTAAGATTAGCATTAAATAATTAAAATAATAGTAACTTAAATAATTTATTAATTTTATTTTAATATAATTGATAGCATATTGATATATTAATAGATACTCATGGATTAAATGATAAATTGCTTGAAAAATTTTATTTTGTTTGGCCCTTTAAAATGCTAAACTATGTAATTCTTAGCAGTTTATATCCATCGACCAAAACTAATCAATTTGATGCCATCGCATATATTTTGGATAAATATGTATTAACTTTAATATTTATATATTTTAAAAAAAGTCAAACAATTATTAATTACACAAAATTTATACTAAATGAATAACTTAAAACAGAAAATTAAATAACAATAAATTATTATAATTATTTGTTTATAAGTATTAAAATAATTTAATATAATAACTTAATATTTTAAATAAACTTAAAATAATATAATTATTTTATAAAATTTCTATATAATACTGTATATAATTTTTAAATAGTATTGGTTGGGCATATTTTTGACAATTTTAATTTTTACTATCATTAACACAATATATTATAAAATTGATAATAATGTCAAACATACTACTAATAGGTATCTAAAGTGTTCATTTATTTTTAATATAAATTATGAATTATTATTAATTGTTTTATTTTTTAATAGTCCTAATATAAAAACAACATTAATGATGCAGTTATGGACAATTTACAATGCCTTAGTTGCTGATTGTATTATATATTTAATATTTTAAAAATTTATTATTAAAATTATTAATTCTTCAATTTTATTATTAGTTACTTTAAATCTAGATATGTCAGTGTATTATTGTTTATTTTTTGGTACACTATTTATCGGTAAATTTTTTACATTAAATTTACTAAATCAAGAAATATTGTCAATTTATTTTACAAATCCATTTGAAACTATTGATTCATATGAAGATATTATTAATAATAAACGTTTTTTTCGATATATACTATTTTATGACATACGATGGATTCAAAATATATCAGGTATACAAACTATTACTTATATTACATATCTTTAATATAATAAAATACAGAATATGATATTTTTTTAAAAATAGATTTTAAAAATAAATGAATATTAATTATATTATACGAAAAATCTTTAGTTTAATAAACTTTAAATTTAATGTTATAGTCGGAAAACATTATAGAGGATTTAAAAATAAATATATAATTAGAGATTGGCAAATAGAAAGTTTCTAATAAATCTCCCTGAGAAAGTTTCTAGAAAATTCTATAGAAATTTAAATTTATTGTTATACTACGGGATCCCCATATCTACATATAATATGGTATTATACTATACAGTATAGTACAGTACTACACAAATGCTATATATAAAATAATTACAATTATTAAATAATAATTAGTTTTGTAAAATTGTATTCATCATTTTATTATATACTGTATATCATACTTTTTACTTTAATTAATAATTAAAATAATAATAATAATATTTACGGTAATGTATTGTTATATGATTACAAATATTGAGATAACAAAATTAACAAATGGAAATCCCATAGATAGAAATTTCTCTATTATTTTATAAATTTCTCAATTTTACCAACACTATATATAATTAATATCTTTAATATCGTTGAATAATTAACAAATAAAATTTAAAAATATTATTTTATAAAAATGCAAATTTTGTTTTTAGAATAAATGGACAGCAATTGAAAAGCAATTAATAAAAAGAGCCAAAGAGTCAAATAAAAACTATTTATTGGGCGATCTTTCAATGGAAATGTTTAAATCGGGACAAATCAATGAATTAATAGAAAATGTTGAAAAATATCAAAAACAAATTATTATACTTTCGCTAATTTTTTCAAATCCTATTGTTTTAATGCAAAACCGTTATCACCGTTTGCACGCATCACGTGAGTTATACCAAGAGGGAAGTTACGCGCATATCATTTATAGGAATATTACTAATAAAACTAATAACAATTACTAATTGCAAACTTTACGATGATTTTGATTATATGTAATATATATATCTATATACTTTATTTTTAGCTATTAATAGTTAATTAATATGTATTATCATTTAAATTATTTTTAATTAAAAGTATTACTCAAACCCGTGAAACTGGTCATTTGGACACATGGTTTAATGCTTGGTACAGTTATTACAGAAATACATTTCTAGATATTCAAAATTATGATCCCCCCGATCCCTATGCCTATAGAGTGCCATTGGACTCTATGCGTGTGGCTATCGGACCATATATGACATTAATGCCTATTGTTATCATTACATTTGTCATTGAAATTAAAGACAAATTCATTCAATTATTATTATAAAATTATTGTTTGTAATATTAGAGTTTATCCCTATTTAGAATAATATCTGATTATAGGACCATATATGACACTATTATCTATTTTTATCATTGTATTTGTCATTAAAACCAAAAATAATTTATTTTAATCATTATATAATTTTTATTTGTTTATTACATAAATATTATTTTAATGTTTGATAATTTTTTATAATGATTAGTTATTATACCATTTTATATGCTATTATAAAAATATGAATATTTATTTAATAGTTCATTTATTTCATAGTTATATCTTATATATTATATAATAAATAATGTTTAAATATAGATTAGTTTTATTTGTATTAAATTTAAATTCAAATTATCAATTTCCTAAAACCCACTAAAACAAATAATCATTGTATAAATAATTATTATTTGTCATATGATATAATATAAATCATAAAGTAAAGCATATTTTATATACACATAAAATTATTTAAATCAATTTGATTATCACAATTAAAAAAGTATTACATTTACCGTAAAATTAACTCAAATATACTGTAATGTTTTTATAAAAACGCACATTTAATTTTGTCTAAATTTATCAATATATATATATTTACCAATTATTTCAATAAAATTTAAATAAAATATTTTAAACATAATATATATATGATTTTATTTGTTAAAATTAACGAATATTGGTATACATAAAAGTGGGTGCATTACTGTGATTAGTCAACTGGTTTATAGTCGGTACTAATATGTAAGCAGTGGTAGGACTAATAGGACTAACATTAGACAACTGAGTAGTAGTTTGCGAAACAGATAAACTAAATTCATTTAATTTTGACTTTAATTGACTGTTTTCTTTCAATAGCTTATCATTGGACTCCTTTAAGCTATCAATATATTGGGCTACCGTTTCCAGAATAGCCGACTTCTTCCAGTTGGTGGCATTGGGTCCGACTACCAGTGTTTTCAAGCGACGTATCTGTTCATTGATTGAGCGCCGATATCTGGACTCAGCCGAGGCGTGTGCCACACGTTTCGGACACAATTCGCGGTCACATTTGGTCTCAATTTGATTCAACGCTTTTCCAATCCTTTTGCTAATTCTCTTATATTTATCACATAAATCTTGTTTGTCATCACATGTCTTACAATTGGTGACTATTGTTTGGACTGAACTTTCATTTTTTGTTAAATCATTGATAAATTGATTTATTCCTTCTTCTGTCGATTCTTCATCATTCAACTGTTTCGTACAAAACTTTAAACTATTGCTGAATTGTTGTTGTTTTTTACAATCAAATATTTTTACATTATTTTGATTATTGAAATTATCAGTAGAAATAATATTATTATCACTATTATCAATATTATTATTATTTAAATCACAGTATTGTTTAAACTGTTGGAGCCGTAGACTATCACTGGCACTGTTGCTATTAGTGTCGGTATAGACGCTATAATAGTATTGACGATCGACCGGCGATATAATATGTTTAGTAATTTCATCAAAATTGTATTCACTAATAGATGAATAGTTTGACATAATTTTTATTTTGTTGATAAAATTAATTTATTAATATTATAAGATATTAATTTATTTAATATAAGACAGTATCTAAATAATATAATTTTCAACTAAAATATTTCAATATTTATAACTATTTTTAGTAATTTTTCAAAGTCTACTAATACAGATAATGATTATTGTTATTTTAATTTGTCTTATATTATGAGGAAATAATGTGTTTTTATATTATTTATAATTTACATATATTTTTAAAGCAAAATAATGTATATTTTTAATACAAAATTATTTAGCAGTATTGTAATGTTACTTTATTTTTTATATCATTATAATATGCAAAAAACCAGTATATAAAAATAAAAACAAAGTAAGTATTAACTATTTTTATTTAAATTATATTTTCACATTTAATTCTATGCATTTAATATTAAAAAATAATTGTTTACTATTAATATTTTAATTTCATAAATTATGTAATTAAATTGAACAATCATATAAWATATATTAAAAGATAATCGTCTTTATTAATTTCATTTAAATTACACTTTTTTATTACATTTTCATTATTGTTTATATTACTACTAATCTCTAGTAGATAATACAGTAGATAATAATTAAGTAATTAATACCACTTATAACACAATACAATTTTTTACAAATAGTCAGTGCAATAGTGTTTAACAGCACAATAAAAGTAATATTTTAAGCAATATTTTTTTTAAAGTTAAATAACTTTAAAGTAGTTATATTATTTATTTAAATATAATTTTATTTTGTTCATTTAAAACATGTATTTCGTAACAATTTTGGTTTTATTAGCAATTTTATTGCCAAATCAATACATGTGTCTGAACTGGGCCGACCAAAACAAAGTGCTACCAGTTCGCAATGAGGTAATTATATTTATATAAATTTCTAATATTAATTAGACAATTAGTTTAATTTATAATTGTATTTGTTTTATTTTTGATAAATAAAATAAATAGTTTAAAACTATAAGTTTATTAATTATAAATAACTATTATTATAGGATAATTGTGTGCGATCGGGTACTATAGATGTGTTGGATGCCATTAGTTCATTTCAGGCCATTTCAACAAAATCACCACCAAATCAATTCAGTGCTCAACAAGTTTTTGACTGCAGTTAGTATTATATATAASAAAACAAACAAATACTTTCATAATTTACATAATACTTAATTATACAAAAAAATTAATTAATTACCCATTTAAATCTATATACTAATATACTAATTATATGATTGTCATAATAATGTAGATAAAAATTGGTGTATTTGTGATGATCATCCAAATTCAACTGAGATTGCATTTTCAATAGCAGACAATCAGTTTAGGCGTATAGACCTTGAAAGTGATCACCCGTATACTGGAGTATGTAAAGCAAATCAATGTAATCGTACGGATAAAGCCTATAAAATAGGTTTAATAGCTACCGTTCCCGTTGGACATTCTGACCAAAATTATGAGCATATATTTGATGAGATGCTTCGTATGGCACCCATTCAGGTAGACGTGTCGTCAAATATACAGAYTTTCGTGATTATAAGGGAGGTATATATTCGACACTCAAGTGCTCACAACAACCTATTGACCATTCGTTACTATTGGTGGGTTTCGGTGAAGAAAACGGTATTAAATATTGGATCGCAAGAAATAGGTATCTTATAGTTTTGTTTAAATTATATTTCAAAATATATTTGTTTGTATAGCTATGGTACCCAATGGGGCGAACAGGGATACATACGATTGAGACGGGGTATTAAAGTATGTAATATTGGTTCCGGTTATATACGCATTGACAGTGTCTATAGAAAACAAATATATGACTTTGAGATTATTATTTAATAATAATTGTATTTTAAAATACCGGTACAATCAATAATCCGTATTATAAAAAAATAATAAAATGCAATTAGAAATTTTTTATTTACAATTATTTATTGTTGTTTTTAATACTAGAGAAATATTTAAAATTATATTGTTTTCTTATATGCAATAATATCATAATATACAGGTATTAATACTATTAATTAAAAATATTATATTATGTATTATTTATTTATTTATTAAGTAGTAATAATAATATATTTTATTCTTTTAGTATATTTAATAATTTCAAATATTATAGCAATAATTGCTATCAGATATCCACAAAACAATACAATGAATACATTTTTGAACATTTCTATTAAACTTATTTGATAATTATTGGATAAATCAATTGTTAAATTTAGATTATCAATGTTTTTAAATGAAGTTTTATGAATTTTAAGTATTATATTGCCGATCAATAAGTGTCTAAATCGTATACCGTTTTCAGTAATTTGTTTGAACCTTTAAAATTAAGTAATCCATAAATTTAATGTATAATTTTTTTTAATTAAAAATAATTATTACAAATTAAAACTTACATAAATGTTAAATTAGCTGTCAATGATTTATTGATATTTTCGTTAATCGTATAATAATTGAATTTATTATAATATTTATAATTACTAACTGTTAGTTGATTTTGAAATTTTTCGTATAAATGCATAAATGCTGTTATAATGTTTGTGTTATAAAATACAGCTAATTTACAATTGATAATATCGTTAAGAAACTGTTTATTATACATAAATAATTGCCATTTTTTAGCATCAAAACCATTATTCTCAATATAATTACTGCGCTTTTCTAACATTAAATCAAATAAATTTTGATTTTCACTTTCACTTTCAATGGCATACAATTGTAAATCCTTAATATCTAATGGATTACACATTATAGATATTTCTGCATTTTTGGYAATATCTTCAAATGAATTAATAAATGCTTCAGATTTTACATTGAAGTATGTATTCAATAAAATACTATTAAACGATAAGTTTATTATGTTTGCCATAAGTAACCATATGATTAATAATGCAAACGTAGTTATTATTAGTTTACGATTTAGATTTTGAAAATGTTTAATAATTTTGATAAATATATTTGTTGATTGTTTTATTAGTATTTTATAGATTTCAAATAATAATTCAATTAAAGAGATATGCATTATTTGTGAAATTAATAAAGATATTATTAACATTGATAAACAAATATATAGCCAAATCTAATAAATGAAAATAATAATAATTTTTATCTATTTATAATTTAATATAGTATATTGTTTACTTACAAAGTGATCAAACAGTTTAATAAATTCAAAATATGTTATAACACGTTTAGTTTTCAAACAACTTATTATTTCAAATAAATATATTATATCGGATACAATATAATTGTAATTTTTGTGCGATTCATATATATCTGACTCGTATAATGATGTTTTAGACTACAAGCAAAATAATATTATTTAATTAAAAGTTGTTTTTTAAAAATAGAGCGAAAATTATTTTACCTGGCTAATGTTAGCAATAAATTTAACTGGTAAATTTAATTTACAAACTATATATTTTAACATACCAAAATTTATACCTAAAATTGCAAACTTAAATCCAATTAGTTAGTAAATTTGAAATACAAACTTCAAAAAATAGACAATTTAGTTATTACCGTTATATTAGTAAGTGAGAGGGGTACATAATCTATCAATGATAATGATGATGATGATTTATTAGAATATGTTGTACATGTATAAATAACATCACGTTTGACTACTATAAATGGATAAAATTTATCAGTATAACGTAYTTGGTCATTTATATTTACTGCCATAATTTACAAGTTAAATATTTTTATAAAAATATTTTTTTATTTATTTCACTAATTATTAAACTAAACTATTTAATAATTCAATTTATATACAAAACATATTTATAAATATCTAAAAAGTCAGATATTGTTATGTCTATAAAGTTATCTTACAATAGTACTAATATTGTTGACCTTATTTTTTTTGTATTATTATTTTATTTATAATATAATAATAGTTTTGTTGTATATTTATCGGTAATCAATCATTATTACAAATTAATGTCTATATAATTCGTTTATTTATAGGGTTTATATACAATATAAATAATCTTTTCATTTTTATAAAATATATAAAAAATATAATTTTCATTCACACGTGGAACGTGTTAATTATAACCAAGTATAATTATTAAAAAAAGTAGAGCAAATTTTTATTAAGGTCATCATGATGATATTTGTTATAAAAATATGTATAGTAACGTACTCAAAAACAAAATTAGTTTCTATATTTAATTAAAGCAATTGAATACATTTAATATTTTTCAAAATTTTTCTTTATTTCACATAAATAAATAAATAACATTGAAATCAATGATTAGAAAACATTTAAAATACAGTATAATAATATTTAGTAAATTTGGCTATAAATTGGTAAAACTTTTATATTTGAAAATGAGTTTAATATTTTAATAGATAATCTCAAAATATGACAACAACCAACTGAACTGGATAAGTTTGTATTATTAAAGATATCAAATATACTAAATACAATATATTTAATGTCAAAATTTATTTAAAAGACATGCAAAAATTTAATGAATATTTAATTGATGATTACTATAATAATGTGTAAATTGTGCAAATTGTGAAAATAGTGTTTACGGGTATATTGCTATTTATTTTTGTATTTTAATTTAGATTTACTTTGTTAATTATTAGGATACCATTTTGAATCTAATAAAAAAATGCTAACATAAATACTAATAAAAATCTTAACAAAAATTTTAACAAAAATGAATATATTATAAAATGTGTGCTATTATTATGAGTATTTTTAAAAATAAATATAAATAATTATAGTTTAAAATTATCAAACACACAAACATATATATTATTGGTCATACAATTAAAGAGTATATATTCAATACTTTAAATTATTATGAAATAACACAGTCGTGATTGTCGCTGAATTTACGCCCGGCCTCTATGCCCCGTCTTTTCAATCCTTCAATATAAACCTAAAAACATTAATACAGTATAAAACAAAACAAAAAAATAAATACAATGAATAGTCGTTAAAGATTACATGTAATATTTTAAACTTAAATTTGAAACATACTATACCTCTCTATCAAATTGTCCCAAATTAAGTGGTATATCATCCCTTCCGTGTCTGATCTGAGCCATAAACAATGCGAACACCGGTTTATGATCACTGGTGTCAAAGTGTGGCACATAATTGTATTGCTGGCAAAAGATATGACCCAATCGTTTGCTGCGATATAGTATACGGTCTGTATATGACGGCACCCGTTTCAGTACACTCTCATAAGTATTGCTATTAATCTCAAATTTATAGGTCGGAGGGAACCTGATGTCCGCAGCTTCAGAAAAGCCACGAAACAGAGCATTCCTTTCCATTGCTTGAGTCAACTGATCGTTCTCTAGGAGCTGACTATACATGTCATCGCTGGTTATGAGTTGCAAATATTGACACACATTTTCGTGGCTCAGATCGATACGAAAATTAAGATCACCGAACCAGAAAACACAGTCAAATCTGCCGGTTAGGTCGGGTGTGATATATCGTGTTCTCAACAGTGAACTGTCTTTCGGCAACTCGATAGACGATATGATACGCTCGTAGGCTTCGAGCCGACTCTGGCACTGGGATTCATGTGCCGGAAAATGACTATTTATAAATAGGAATGATGTGCCAAATACACGAAATGATACAGCAATGGCACCTTTGGTCTTAAGTATGGGTATTGCACAGGGACTTCGGGTATTATGCGTCTCATCCTCGGGAATGGATACATACCATATAAGAAACCTATTATAATATTTAAATCCATTGATATTAGTAATAATATTCAATTTATGGATTTATCTACCTTTTAACAAAAATAACCATGTGAAGAGCACCGTGAGTTGTCGAATGTAGTAACACGTGTGAGGGACCGATAGATTTTTGTATATCAATCTCCCAGTCTTTGAGAGCGTTTCCGGGCGCCTCCTGTACTCCAAACACCATAATATCTGCCACGTGTTCAATAGTATCGGGTAGTACTATAGGGTTAAGATCTTGTGGCGGATCATTATTATTCATATTCCAAGTGGTCATATAAATGGAGATTTTGGAGTCGGGATAATAATTATGCAACTCATTAGCCCGTAATAGTGATCCCTTTTTAAATTAATTTTATATTTAAAAAGCAAAATTAAAAAACTGTATTAGAAAAATAATTATTATTTGAAGCTATAAAACTAAATTATTATTATTATTATTGCAATACATTTCTAAATAGCATTCTTTGAATTTTTAAGATTCTTTGAGTTACTAAAAATATTTTCCGAAATATGATATTAATTAAATTTTATTTAAAAAATAAATAATTTTTTGAGATATTATATGTATTATATATATATATACTGAATATACAGATAATTATATTAATTATTAACAATGTTAGCTATATTTTATATAATAGAATAGTTTTTTATAATAATAATTTTATTTTAAATAGGATTCAGTAACTCATAGCATAACTTACATGATATCCATCCGGCAGTGTTCGAGCTCTGGCATCCGATGCCAGCACTGATACATTATATGTCATTAACGATCCATTGAATGTTGAATCAATAGAATGTCCGGAAAGTAGACTGTCCTTCGAATCGATACTATCGGCGCTGTTTGGTGTCCACAATGTTTCAGTGCTCATATCAACAATATTGATAGCTTTTAGATTTCACTTTTAAATTAATAAAACTAATGAATTATTTTTAAACAAAAATTTTATTATACAAATAGTTTGATATTTAAATATCAAGGCCTGGTATGTGTAAATGTCACAAATTATTAATAAATATTTATCACATTTTGTATACAGTAGTATTAAATAGTATTTTTAATTTGATATTTGATCATAAAAATAATAATAATAATATTATTATTATTATTTTTTATAATATGTTTATATTATTTTTATTATTTATTTATTTAATAAATTTGATAGATAACAGACTGGGAGCAGGTGTATAAAAATTTTATATTACTAGTAATATTTGATCGATTTATTTCAATAGTATTGCTATGTATAGTATATGTAATAATCATAGTTTAATTTAAATATTACAAAATAAAACATAAAACATAAATCATGAAAATTTTAATTTTATTTACAAAATAACTGGTTATATATTTATTTATTTATACAAATAACGATTTTATGATACGGGTTGAGTGAACAGTTAGCTTATGAAATATTATTGGTGTTTGATATCATTGGACATGTGTGTTATGTAATCTAATAAAACATACTTAACTGTGTAAGACAGCACCGTTACGCAAGCGTACCGTTCAATCGTTTGCTTTGGGACTACCGATAATATGATTATAAATCACAAGTTGTTTCAAGTGATTCACAACACTGTATATGTCTAAATAAAATAAAAATAAATAAATAAAACAATAATTTAGTAAAGTAGTGATGCAATAAAAATAATGGATAATAAGCCAATGTATATATTTACAATATAAATGATGAAAAACTATTTCAATAAAATTAATTTTCAAGTGTTATTTTAAAATTGTTGAAAATTGCTATTTTTACACACAAAATAATATGACTGTACATACAGTAAAATATAAAGTATAAACTATTTTTATAATGTAATATATTTTTATTTAAGTTTAATTAGGTTTTAATGATTCTCTCAATACAGTACTTGTCATCTAAACTAAATTTTTGTATTACATCTCACTATATATACTGTATTAGATATAATATAAATTAATATATCTATATATAGTAGTACAGTATATATTTAGTATACAATTATAAATTTAATACACTCTTGTTATTTGCAATCACTTGAATTAATGAGAAAAATAGACGTTTTATTTATCGCGTTTAACATTAAAATCCTAAGTTATTTCTAACATTACAATGGCTTAAATGTTATCAACACAAAACACTATTATAATTTATAATTTAAGTTATTTATATAAAGCACTCAAAGCTATTTAGAGAAAAACACTTTAATTGAAAACGTTTGATTCAATTGTTAATATTATTTTTATTTTTGTTGAATACAATTTTATCAAAAAAATTTAATTTAACAATTTTTGTGTAATTTAATATAAACATAAAAAATAAATTACTAGTTTTTAGTTGTTTAAAACTAATTATTTTACAATATTTATTTTTATTTATTTTGACTAATTTCTATAAAAATAAAAATAATAGCTAATCAAAAAAAAAAATAAATCTCATTAAAATTATTAATAAAAGTGTTAATAATATTAAACTTTTTCATCTAAAAAATATCTATTTATTATTATTATCTATAGTATTAGTAGTGTTAGTAGATATCTGATGACTAGTTTTCAATAAATATGAATATCGTTTAATAATACAACTAATTATAGCAAACAATGCCAGAGAAATGCCTAAATATATGAATTCAATGACTATGAATATCGTCGAATAGTTTTCAATATAGTTGCCCACAATTATCGGTGTAAATAAATTGGTCAGTCCTCGGATCAACATAAAGAATGTGGTCAACCTGTTTGTCAAATTGAGATACTGCTCCGTAAAGGACAGTATGCCGGCAAACATAGCAGAAAAGCCGTACAAATTCAACAGTGTGGCCAACCATAACCATATTAGTGAGTGCTGGCCAGGTATTAATAGTACTGTGCCGATTATATCGCATATGTAGTGAAGTAATAGGACATATATCAGTCGAAATTTGTAGGCATAATATATATTAAGTATGAGTCCTGTATAATAAAATAAATTATTAAATATTATATATATAACTGTATATTTGATGTTAAATACCTGCTGTATATACCGATACGCCGATCGACAATATATAAGTGCCCTCTTCGGCGCTCAATTTTAGCGGACAGTATTGAAAATAAGTGACAGAAAACTTCATGAATACTGTTTCATAGCACAGGTAGATGGAGAACCAGAGAGCAAAACAAATGCGAATTAATATTCTCGGCGTTTCTTTTCTGTCAAATAATTTTAATTCAGTTTCTACTTCTTCTGACTCTTGAATATCGGTTATCTCTTTAGGCGTCTCATATGGTCTTATAAAATACATTATCAATATAGCAATGGGAACTACAGTATAACAAAACAATAGATTTTTAGCCAGGAGCTTATAATACTTGTAATGTATACATACTTGTAATGGCTACACCTCCTATAAGCAGAGTTGGTACCATTAATCGGGATCTTCTATCGATGACCACTTCCTCGGAATAATTGTCCAAACTTAGTAATATTTGATTTGGTATACTATAGTTGCGATTACTGGCCACTTGATTGTCGTGAGTCTCGCCGATTACGTAAGGCTTTAAGGCCAGTGTGCAGAAGATCTCTCCGATGCCGAACCACATCTCATAGATCTGCATAATTGGTATGTTTTTCTTGCCTCTCCACAGCTCAAGCATCCACACTGTCCCGGCGGACACCCAAACACTGGTACCAAATCCGGTGACAAATGCGCACAAATACATAACCCATAGATTTGGTGACAACGGTATCACTGCCGACCCTATTATCATCAATGCAAATATCGATGACATAACAAACTGTCGGTTAACGTATTTATATGATAGACCAACTGTTAAATAAGTATATAAATAATTAAAAACAAATATTTAAAGTATAATTACAAACATTTACCTAATGTGCCCATAATGTAACCGGTTGTCTCAAATGTGGTGAACAATGATATCCAGCGCATAGATGTATCCAAAATATATTTCATGTCTACCATTATTGGCGAGAAAAGTGCGTAAGACATGCCCTTTAAATATAGTCGGACACAGAATTTCATAAAATATATTATACATTGAAAGATAATTTTATAAATTAAGTTTTTTAAAATGAAATACCAGCGCTATTTCAGCCAAAAATAATAGCAATGTATAAACATAATGATTTTTGCTTATTGATCCCAGTTCCTTTTTTAAACTAACCATGCTGTTTTATTTCGAACAAGCACAACTAATGTTACAAATTAAAAAAATAACTAGTTTAGTTTTTAAACTCTATTTATAGCAATCTTTTTTTAAAAAAAGTATATAATAATTAATGATTAAAATTAAGTTGCACAATTATTAACTATTTGATAAGACATTTTTTTTGTATAATATAATAATTATTATTTTAACTTCACTTTTATTATATTTTAAGTTATATAACAATTAATGTAACCGATGTACTATTATAAATTTACATTTATACTATGATATTTTATTTTATTGTGTCTAATTTATCAAATAAGTTATACAACAAGACATAAAAATATAAAATATATAAATTTTAAATACACTATTATCATTTGATAAATTAATTTACAATATACACTATAGTGTAACAATATCATAAATATTATAACAAGTTTTATATCAAATAAAAATGCAATTAAATTAGTTTTATGAAGCATAACATCGATAGTTGTATAATTTGTTAACTTTTAATTTTTATTAAAACAGCAATGATTTTACCAAAACATAAACAGTTTTATTTATTTTAATATAATATTATAGAGTTTTATTTAGCAAATAATGATTTAATTTGTTTGTTTAATTCAATTAAAAATATACAGATAGCGATTGGTATACCACACATATAGGGACCAATAGCTATCTTCATGTGCGCCATTGTCATACTTATTGTACTATCAATTGGTGCAAAATCGTCATATCTATTGAACGAATCGCCCATAAAATATTTTAAAGCCGAGCGTATAGTCTCTTCAATTAATTTAGTGTATAAACCCGTTTCAATAGTTATATCCAAACTATTTTTTAAAAGATAAATAAAAAATAATAATATATAATCTTAGTTTACAATATAGTATATAAATACATTAATTACATTTGTTTAAAATATTCAAAAATTTGCCGATTATTAAACTGTTTATAAATAATGAGACCTTTGGCTATTTCAATGTACGACTCGTAGGACATATGAGTTTTGAATTTTTTAATTTGTATTAACCCGAGAAACTCGTCTCTATTACCGACCAAAACATGAGTTAGTTTAACACAAATTAAATTTAACAGTGAATTGAGTCGTCCAAAAAAGTTAGAGTGAGTTGAATCAATATATTGTATTTCCCTATTGTTAAGACCACGTATTATAATACTATTTTCAATTGGCGACAACTTATACTAAATTGCAAATAAACTGAGTTTAATATAACTATATTGTTAATCATTATTATCTGTATAATACCTTAAATAAATTGAAATCAGCACTACTCATAAATAGTATGGGTTTGATGTGTTTCATACCATCCAAATCATTCAATGTGTCGATCAATTTGTATGAATTTTGTATTGTTAGAGACAAAATCATTTGACTAAATATATTTGTTATCAATAAATTTGTTACGAGTAATGTTCCCATAATTAATAAATATTTATGTGTTGAACGAAGATATCGTTTCATAACTATCAATTATTTTTTTATATTTCAATAAAATTATAATAAATGTTAAATATGTTAGTAAAATATATATTAGTGATTTATGACAGTTATTACAGTTATATAATTAATTAACATTTACATTGCATGAACATTGCGTTAAATACCAACCAACTATTGGAATACAATTTGTTTATAACACTAAATAATATGATATTATTTGTTAAATTATGTAATTGTTTTTTGCAGTAGTAATAAAAAAATATTGCTGTTTATAATACAAAAAAAATTTAAAAATTATTTACATACAATTTTAAATTATAATATTGATGTATGCTAAATTGAATTAGCAAATTGACATCTAACACAAATAGAAATGTGCACARTATTTGTACCAACAAAATTAAAGTCCAAAACTATTTTTTAATTAAATCAATTATTATCAACAAAAAAAAATATTATTAATATTAGATAATAATGATAAATATGATGAAATTAAAAATTGTATTACATATCTATCAAATATTGAGAACAATGCAAAATGATTAAACGATATATCATTGGGATAATAGCCACCGATTATTGATATGCCGTAAACAGGTTTTAATATCATTATATCAATGTAGTCAAGCATACTATCTTTTACGTGAAAATACTCTAAAGTAATGTCTACTTTCTTTTAATAATTAATTGTTTGTTTACTTTAAAAATTAATGTTTAATTTTTTTCATTATAAATATAATATTTACTTTTGTAATAATATATTCAAGAAAATCAGTATAACTGACAGTTGTCTCATTAGTGGACACATTGCGATCTCCGTTAGGGTATATTTCGATGGGTAGTACACTATTAATAAATGTATTAAATAATAAATTTTCATTTTAAAACAGATATTACAATGTTTAAATGTATTTATAATAAAAAAATAAATATTTAAAACATATTATAAAAAATAATTATTATAATTAAACTGTATTAATGGTCATTTTTATAAATTATATACAATTTAAACAATACTAAATTAATTAATAAAATTTAATTTAAATATTAATTTTATAAAATATTTTTTTATTACCCAAACCTCGAGCGACGGACTAATTCTTTAATGATAAATAACTGTTGTCCACAAAGTACACGATATATATTATTTTTAAACTATAGATTAAACACAATTATCTGTAAATATTTAAAATTGACAACAATTTACCAATATTTGTCCGCTATATGTAAAATTGCCTTTCGGTACAAATTTATAATCAAATATATATGGCTCAGTTGATTCACAAAAATCAAAATCACATTCAAAGTAAGCATTAAATTCCATATTTTATTATAATATTTAAAAATCAAACATTAATTATAATAAAATGTTTTTTTAAATTTTTTTTATAATGTTATTACCAGTAATTGATTGAATTTTTATAAATTCAATTTAACTTTGTGTATGTTATTATTTTTAGTAAAATTGAAAATATATAATTTACAAAAATATATATTGATATTTAAACAAAATTTACAGTTAATTTAAAATAAACAATATTAATTTAAAAAATGTTTTACACTACTGTAATAAATTTATTTTTCTATTTTTATTATAATTATATATTTATATATAATTAATTATTTAGATATTAATTAACTTTGATAGTACCAGTGCCAAATTTGCACAGTATTGTTTTTGAATAGTCGCCCTCCAGTTCCAGTGATGGATGAAAGCGTATAAATAATTTATTGACAAACAATCCGTCGACAATCTAATTAAAAACAAAAATATAATATAATATAAACAAATTAATTATTTATTATTTATTACTAAAATTATTTATATATATATATTACTGATTTTTGTGTATCGCAAGCATCGTGCGGCACATGTAGCTCATAGGCCAACTGTCCGGTGCCACGAAATCTGCACCTATTGTCCCGACTATTGGTGTTACCGGCAATTACTTCACCTCTGAACGGATGCGTAAAGTTAAACCTAATAAATATATGGTTTGGTTCGCAAAATAAGACAACTGTGCCGTTAAAAATATATATATAAATAAAAGTTTAGTATAAATATTTGTAAATAATATAAAAAATAATTTTTTTTATGAAATACCAGTAGCTCTTCGGGTGATAAATTCGTTACTGAAATCCTTAACGGATTCAATACCAGTGTTTAGGTTAACAATAGTTGAGTTGTTTTTATTAATAGTTCTTTCGATAAAATGATTTTGAGCTTTGCTTTCAATGATTTTAATCTGTTATAAATAACAAATAATTATTATGACTGTATTTATTTAATTATTCAATTTTTACTTACAAAAAATATAAATATATTAATTATTATTAAATATTTATAATTTTTCATAATTACTATTAATTATTAAACTTAATAATTTATCAAATAAATTAATATCTAATTTAATATAATTTGATTTTTACTAAATGTTTCTTTAAGATTATGATTTGACACAAATATAAGTAATAAAATAAATATTTGTTAAGCAATATAACACCGATTCATAATATTTAATATAAGTTACAATTTATTTTTAAAAATTTTGTTTTACACAAAATCAAACACTAACTATAAAAGTTAAGTCACACACTTTAAAAGTATATATTTAATTCATAATCACCGAGAAAACAATATTGTTTAATACAAGGTATATAAATATTTGTGTGCAATCATCACCACCACTAATGTCATACCTTGAATACACCATTAATTAACTAACAAACCTGTTTCATGTGTGCCCATTGTCACTGATTTAATTGGTGTCAACCAGTCATATGTGTTAATCTCAAGTAATGTACTGTAAATTTATGTATGTATTAATTATTTATAAAATTTTCTTAATTAATTTATCTTTAGTTTTAAAGGATTTTAGTGAAAAAATTGTGAAAATTAACATTTAGATTGTTAATACCATAATTAAAACTTGAGCTAATGTTTAGCAAAATTTTGATTTGAAAAAAAACCTTAGAAAATTTGTTTTAAAAATTATTTATAAATTATATATTATGTAAATAGCAATGAATATAAATTATACACAAAAAGCATGTATAAATAACTAAGTTTTATGAAAATGAAAAAATAATTTTATGAATCAATTCAAAAAACATTATACCGTCTATATGTGTAAACTGTATAAACGTATTTTATTGATATTAGTATACAGTGGGGGGAAACAAAAGTGAGCAATGTTGAAATAGTATATTGAAAATTATATATACATTGGAGATCCATTAGATTCACACACATAAATGAATTTCAAATTTAATTTATTTTTGTGTTGACAGTAATTGAAATCCATATTTATATAATAATAAAAAAAATTAACAATGATTTGATCGGACATCACATTATAACAGAAGAATATTCTGTAAACTAATTGAGAAATTTTTTTGTACTAAAAAAAATCTCAATATTTTTTTCTCATTCTCTATTTGACGGTAAGTCCTTCTATGATATATACATAAACATACACTATATATATATTCAACTTAATGTCCATAGAATTATTGATTGGTCTGAAACCCGATCTGACCCGCAAACACACACACAGTCACTATGAATATGAACGATCCGATGTCGGTATATATGTTGGGCGCGGCCAACAACAACAACAACACTAATACCGCACACTATGATAACGGCGATCTGAAACAGCGGATCAATTGTCTGCACGAAGACAATCAACAATTGAGGCGAAAGTTGACCGCAAAGAGTACGGAATGCGATAAACTTAAGCAACAGATGATGGCTATGAAGTTAGAGTGCGATCGCTATAAACAAGTAATGATTCAATTGAATGAAACCATACAACAGTTTGTCCGATATGTCAATAGTAAAAACCAGTAATAAATTCATACAATTATTGTTTTTTTTTGGTCATCAAATCTATTTTCATCAAAACACTTGTTATTTATTTAATTAATAAATAACTTGATAATTGAATTAAACAAAAATAAATTTTAACATAAGTAATAAATAAATAAATATATATATATGATATATAATTTTATTATAATTTTTGCATATGTAATTTATATATATATATATATTTGAAAAAATGCCACTACTACCTATGCCAATTTTTTTCAATGTAATTTTATTATTATTATTATTTAAAAAATATAATGATACAAATACTTAATTAATAAAATGGATTAAAGTACTGAAATTATTTAATATTTTATAACATGGGTTAGTTAAATGTAATGTTTAGACAAATTATCAAAAATTGTGCATGTTTGTTTATTAATAATTTATAGAATATTATTATATTATAAACCAAATTACATCACAAATAAGATATGCATTGCATATATGATATCAAAATATAACATTTTGGACGTATTGTTTGAACGTCACACACAAACAAGTCGGCGATTATACAAAATGTTGATTATATTCATAGAATATTCGAATGGATAGTCCATAAAACAGTCTCTGAAACTGTACTTTTGGCTATATATCTATGGGAACGGGAGATATTGGGAGAGAGTGGAGAGTATTTCGGAGAGCGTCTCGCTCTCTGATAGGTTAACAACATTGAGAGAGAGTGGGAGAGAGAGTAGAGTCGGGAGAGTCAATCTCTCTGCACAAGAGAGGGTCAGGGAGTGTGAGAGCGAAAGAAAGAGAGCACTCGTAGGCTATGGGAGAGCATAGAAGTTCTCAAACAATTCACTGCACTATTCGTGATGTCTGTGACGGGTCTGACTCTCTCTCACCGATCATATGGTTGTCTGTAAAGTACTGGCAAATCACCCCCCGATCTGTTAAGTTTGTGCACACAATGAGAGAGACCACACCTCTCCCACTACTCTCCACACACTCTCCTATAGGCTTAGCATTGAGAGCGTTGTGATTCACTGACGAGAGAGAGCCGAGAGAGTATCGATCTGTTAGTTAGAGAGGGTTTAGTCAGTAATACTAACTGAGAAAAACCATATTATTTCGTGACATTTATTTTGACGGTGTATTTGAATTCAATATATATTTGTATTATTTAGTGATAATTAGTTTCAATTAACTATTAATTATTATTATTATTACAATCATATGTTGTGTTTGGCACAGAATATTCTGCTAATAATTATTATATATAACATAAACAATAACAACAACAACAACACACAGAATATACTGTATATGCAAACCAAACACACCGTTACCTCACAATTGTGACGGCATTTTCAATATATACCTAAAGTTTTTTTTGTTGGTTCAGTTGTTGTTGTTTTTTATTAGCAAAAAAAAGACAAACCAAACAATTGTTGTGACTTTTGTTTGGATTTTTTTAGGATAAAAGGAAGTCATAATCGCATCACTTTTTTTAGGTGTGTGTGTCTATTATCAGTGATTTTTTTGGTCAATGAATGTCGTAACCAATCAGTCAATGATGTATGTGTTGGGCACCAGTAATGCCATATCGGAGTCACAGTCGCTGAAGCAACAGATCGATGGTCTGAATGCAGACAACGAACAGCTGAGGAGGAAGTTGTCGGCGAAGAACACTGAATGCGATAAATTGAAGCAACAAATCAAAGAAATCAAATTAGAGTGCGACAGATATAAACAAATTATGATGCAATTGAATGAAACACTCATCAATGGGGGCAGCAGTGGACACACCGGTAGGTTCATCACAACTACCAACAAAACAGTTGAACCACTCTTTTAGATAAATAGTCTTTAGTTTAATAATATATATATATATATGATATGATAATTATCGGTTTAATAAGTTATGATATCATAAATAAATAATGTATGTTTAGAGCACAGGTATGCTCATGTATGTTAGTACAGAACATGTGAATATTTATATCATAGTTATCTACAATGTCTAAAAAACAGTATGACTTTACCTGGGTTATTGTTACCAATGTTACTGACATATAGTGTATGTACCGCCAGTTCATTATAGTTATTGACAAATGTGTCAATACTTAACAATCGGTGATTAATATATTGTATGATAACTGTGTGTCAATTGACGCAAATTGTATTTTAATTATTTTTATATAAATATATTTATAGCAAACAAATAGTTACAATTAATTAAAAGTTATAATTTAGTATACAATATATATATATATATATATATATATATATATATATATAGAATTGACGTTAATTGTTATCACCAATTTTTTGTTTGATGATAAAAACACATCAATTGTTGCTATAATTGTTAACCTATGCTATTGACATAATTAACTCTTTCTATACTAATTATATACTTTATATATTTTTATTGAAATTAAATTATTATTATTTTGTAGGCAAATCCCGTAAAAACAATAACAATTACTATGGTTGCCAACAGTGCTGTCACTCAAACAAGCCGTATGTATGCGAATGGGACAACTGTGGCAAACGGTTCAGATCGCGGGCCCATTTGGACAGCCATAAAAACTCGCACACCGGGCGCCGGTTTCCATGCGATTGGCCTAATTGTGGCAAAAGTTTTATGAGAAAATATAATTTAGTTGAACATAAAAAATTGCACTCCAGTCCCAATCCAAATGTCTGCGAGTTTGCCAATTGTGGCAAATTTTTCTCAAGTAATTATCATTTATTTTTTAGTAATATAGTAAATACTTTAAAAAATAAAGGCAAACGAATTTTCAAATTGTTTTTTTTATCATAAAGTGGTTTATCTTATTGTAGATAAATAGGTTTTACAGATAATTTGATGTTTGAGAAAATTGTAGTTTAGTTTTATTACGATAAATAAATTTCATAGTAATTTATAATGTAAATTTTATACACTTAATAGAAAATAATTATATTTGTCCAAGTAACATTTTCTATAATTAATCCTTTATGATTGAAATAAACATATGCTGTATAATTAGTTTGCAAGTAATTTTTATTTAATAAAACAGTATTAATACTACTACTACTACTACTACACACACACATTTTGAAATCAAAATTAAAGTTTTATTATTATATCATTACCGGTAAATATAATTTTAAATTTTGTTTGAATTTAGGTAAATATAGTTTGATGAGACATCAGAGCCAACAACACACACAGGAACCAAAAGGACATCTAACCAGCGCCCAAATGGCTGAGCTTTTTAAGACAACCGAGTAATTCATTATTATACTAACTGTATACTGTATTTGACAACTAAATATTAATAATATCTCATTAATTATGTAAATAAATTTCATTGTAATTTTTTTTAGTTTATTACCGTATATATAAATATATAATAATTTTTGAGTACAATTTTGTAGACAAACAATATGTTATTTCTAAAAACTTTATATGTATTTAAAAATAAAGTTAACTTACAGGTAACAAATTAAACAAATTTAGTACATTTAATATAATATGTTTTATGATTAGATTAAATAATTACTTACTTGAATTTTGTCAATTTTTTTTATAAATTAATTATTAACATATTTTTTTATAACTTTAGTGAACCAAATTATAACTATAATGTACACTAATTTATAACTAATACTATTTTCATTTTTTATATTAATAATAAGACATTACGGATAACATTAGATAATATTATAATAAATTTAATAATAAAACAACTATATATCTAACTTAATTATAATTTTATTGATATAACAAAATTATAGTATATTAACAATAATTGTTTGACGCTTCACATAATTTACATAAACATTTATACAGTTTAAATATATAAATTTAACATAATTATATACTTTTATTATTAAAAATTGTATAAATAAAAATTAGACTATTATTATGTAAAATGAGACACACACACACACATACAATACATGTACTGTACATTATTTTTTAAATTGATTGATTATACCAAGCTGTATGAGACTACACACCTACGCAAAATATCTATATATATACAGTATATTTAATAAAAATGTACACATATAATATTAAAATCATCAGTTTTTTAATATACATGAAATATTAACCAAAAAAATAATAATTTAATTATTCTAAATACAGAGCTCATAATTAATAATGCCAATTAATTATTATAATTAATTTTTTTTAATAATAACTACAGTAGTATGACATTTAAAAAGCATATTTAGTATTTATATACCGTTAAATATATTCAATTATGATTTTTCATGAACAAATAATTATATTAAATTAATTATCTGGTCATATAACACTAAAACATTTTTACGAATAAATATAATAAATTATAAATTAATTTTATGAAACTTAATTAAATTACACTTAAGTTATCAAAATAAAGTTACAATAATTTCAATAACAATAATGTATTATAATATAAATTATATAAATTATTCTATTCAAATTTCTGTCTATTTATTATAAAATATTTCAATTTATCATACTTTGTGATAGTTAAAAAATAATTATCGATTACTTATTATGATTTTAAAAATATATTGATGAAAGACTAGTTAATATTAAAACGAGTATTGTATTTATTTTATTATAATATTGTTGAATTATTAATGTAATAATAACAATATAATTAAACAATAATTTATTTTTACGGTTATTTTATTGTATGGTATATTTTTAGTTAGACTATGTATAAGCATATAATTTATATCATTATTTTTAAATAGTTAAAGAATATTATAGATAATGTCAAAATTATAAATATCTCTATAATCATTAATTTAAGTCAATATTTAAATTGTCTACTTTTCAGTATAAAGTAACATTTTATAAAAAGTATTATTATTATTATATATATAAAGTAGAAATGTAAATAAAAATAATAAATAAATATTATTGACAGTGTTATGTATTATCATATATATATATATATATACGTACATTATTATACTAGTATATTTATGATATTAAATAATTTATATTATATGAATATAATTTAAATTATATAATTTATCTAATATAATATTTATTATAATATGTTATAGATAAATATATAAAAAAATAAATTAAATAGTCTATTAAATAGTATACTTATGTATATAACTTATTATAATATTTTATATTATTACTATTAGAGTATTATATAGATTAAAATTCTTTAATAATTATTCATATAATAAAGCATAAACAAACTTAATTACAATATGTAAATATATTTTTAAAATAAATTATTACTAATATACTATAATTATTAGAGTCTAATAAATGTGATAATTTTATTTTATAATTATAAATATAGTTAAGATATATAGAACAGTTAAAATTTCTAAATATAATAATTATTGCACTTTGACATTGAACTTAAAAATTTAAAATAAATCAAAAATATATTATTAATAGAGAAATACAGTATTTTATAATATTTATAACTATTTATGATTTTTGTTACAATAATTCAATATTTAAGATTTTTAACCATAATTTTAAATATATCTATCATTATTCATATTCACATATGTTATAACTTATAACGATATATTTACCGATGAAATTACCAATAAGTTTTTGCATGAATAGTAGGTATATATATATTAGAGTATATTTAGAAAATAGTTAATCTATATTTAGTTAAGTTGAACAAACAAAACAAAAGCAAACATTTTTTTTTTTTGAAATTGTAAATTATTTTAGAAACACTATCTTCTATTATAAACAAAATAATAGACAATATACTATTAGTAAATTTCTAACAATGCTAAAAATAGTGGCCATTAATTTTACAAAAAAAACACATTATTTATATTATTATTATACAGTAAAACTACTAGTACATTTTAAAGCTTTCATTCAAACATTTGTAAAACATTCAATCAAAATCATCTAATCTTTTTTTAGAAAAAGTAAACAGGTATTTTTATTATTAGTGTATAGTGTACAGGTACATTATATGGTTGTAAGCTACATAAACAAATATTCAGTTTACAATATAAAGTTATATATAGTAGAGATAAATATAAATATAGTTTATAACTTATCAAATTTATAGATAGATTAAATGTGTGTGTGTGTGTGTGGGTGTGTATGTGTGGGTGAATGGGTCAGTGAGAATCATTTATCTATTAGTTTAATAACATGATGTGCCACTTGTGTATAATAGGACATTATTCTTGAAGACATAATATTAAGTCAGGTATTGGGAGATAATTCATCGACAAACACATTGTATTGAATCCATATATAAATTGTATAAAAATATAATACAAGAGTTTAAGGCCTCCAGTTATATGACATTCTAATCAATCATATCGTTATTATTTTTATATGAAAGAAAAAATAAATAAATAAAGAGAGAGAGAGAGAGAGACAGAGAGACAGAGAGACAGAGACAGAGAGAGACAGAGAGACAGACAGAGAGACAGAGTTATCAAAACAAAACATTTAGTGTAACGAAATTAATTGTCGTTTTTATTAAAGAGCTATAGATAGACACACATATAAAATAATTTTGCAAAAACTCTATTGATTTGTTATTTGTTTCATAACATTTACAACATTTATCGATACCGGTGTGTGAGTGTGTGTGTGTGTGTGTGTGTGTGTGTGTGTGTCTGTGTGTGTGTGTGTCTGTGTGTGTGTGTGTCTGTATATATATATTCTTATCTCTTATAGATCTAATAGAGTGTGCATATACTCTAATGATAAGAAATGGTATGGTATGGTATGGTGTAAGCGGTAGGAGCTATTGGTCGAGAGTTTGGGTGCGCAACTCGTAACCAGAAATATATTATATCGCTGGCGCTGACAATACCAATACTACTACTACTACTACCAGTGTTTCAACATAACAGTGTTAACACATACACGTACAGTACGGTACACACACTTAGAAAGACAACGATATATATCACATTCGGAAAGCCGTTTCACTGAATCAATCAGTACTCTATCAGTCACTACTTTTTTGAATAACTATTAATATTTGATTTTGTTTTTCATTATTCAATTGAAAAACATTGTGTTAAGTATTTAAAGAACAAATTAAACACAAGAAAGAGAGAAAGAGAAAGAGAGGACAAACGTTGAAAACATTGAAAAGTAAGAACTTTTATCATAAATTTTGTTTTATTTTAAAATACATTTTATATATATTTGTCAATATACAGTATGTAAATGAGTCATAAATCATTTATGTATTATATAGTACTGTATATTTTACTGTATCATATGTAAAAATAAGTTTATACAAAAATAAAACATAATTTTGACAAATTTGATAATTGTTGTAATAATTAGTATAGATATAGTTGAAAAATATTTTGTACGCCCTATTCATAGTCCAGTTACCCTTCACTTTAAGTTTTTTTGTGTTCACATAAATTTAGTGATTTACTCTTTATTTTGTTCATTTGTTATAATTTCGACAGTCCTTTGAACTATATTTATCCCTTATTTACTATATATTAGTATTGACTTTATCTATTAGAAAATAAAAGCATAAATATTATATATATACTGTAATGCAAGAGACAATGTTTTTTTCTATCCATAGACAGAATATTCTACATTATATTTATCTATTATATATAAACTCTATATTTTTATTTAACATTAATTTTGGACAGTTTGTCAATAGAGAGAGAGAGAGAGAGAGAGAGAGAGAGAGAGAGAGAGAGCTTGATAAAGCAAAATAATGTATAAATATCTAAATAGGCAAAAATGCTGATAAAGTACTATAGATGATTTATGTTTATCTGTATCTTATTTACAGTATATATATATATTTTACAGTATAGAAATTTTATTTATAAATTATATTATACTGTTTAGTATCAATTTTAATTAGTTTGTTTTTCTAATGTGCGTCAATAATTATCAGTAGATAAAAATATTATTGTTTATACTATTATATTACAATTAAAATTAAATAAAAATAAACAATTTAATTATTATATATTTAAAATTCTAAATTGATTTTAACAATTTAAATAAATGTATTTTACTTATGTTTACTAATGTATATTATGTAAATAATCAGTAATGAAAGTATTACAATACACTGTATTATAATAACATAAGATAAATAAGTTATAATATCTATATTTTTTTATACAAAAATATTATTTTCTTAAAATTTTTTTATAGTTCTTGTTTCTTCAATTATATTAATATTAATGTATATTTATAGAAATTGTATAAAACATTTATATTTTGCCTTAAAAAATCGATAATAATTATTATATAAAACACAAATATAAATATTTCTTATGTTTTTTATGTCATAATAAAGTATTAGATAACAGATAAAAATAAATTGAAGTCTATTCTTAAAATACGTTTAATAGCAATATAAATGCCGATAATCATATTATTATAATAATGATCTATTATTACTAAAAAAAATAATATATGCAATATTTTTTTTTATTTGTTAGTTTACATTTTGTCTACTAAGTTATAATACTTTATATAAATACAAGTGTATACTGTAAATGCACTTTAGTAGTGTTCAACAACAAAAATTATTATAATCCATCATGTTTATGATGCATTTTATTTATATTTAATGTTACATGCTGATATATCATTGTAATTTTTTTATTAAATATTTGGGTAGGATTTTATCAATGATTTACATATTAAATAGTAACATAAAATAACACACACACACACACACACACACACACACACACATACATACACACAGTTACGACAACACCTTACAGTTTGTTTCATAAAATGTTAAGTTTTTAATTTTTAATATACTGTACACTATTAACATAGTCAATTTCAACTAAAGACAATTTTTAGATTATATATAAATATATTTTATTTTTAAAACTATTATATTTTATTCAATATATTTACGCTCTTAATATTATATCTTTTCAATTTACATGATTATATAATTTTATTTTATCGATAAAAACGTTATATATTATATTATTATATGTCATTTATTAATTAATTAATTAATTATCAGGGTCAATAAAAGAATTTCATTGTATAATAGATTTAAACATTTTATAAAAATCAACAATTTTCTATTTAAAAATAAACATTTATACAAATTTTGAATAATTAAATTATTAAAATTTTAAAGTTAATCTTAATTTATCATTATAAATTATATTTTATAATATATTTAATTATTAAAATTGACAATAGCACAATGGCAGCAAATATTATTATTTTAACGATTAATAAATTAATTTAATACAGTATTAAACTATTTATGATGATTTACATAATGAGTGATATATACGTATATATATATTAAGATATTTATATTTTAACTAATACTGTATAATAACAATTATTTCTATTTTATTATATGTTAACTAAGTAATTATAAATCATTTATAAAATATTATTTTTATAATGTATACTTATATAATTTGGTTTATTATTATATATACGTATTATTATATTGTTGTCGTTCAAATAAAAAAAATTTATTTAAGGATAGTATATTTTAATATAGTATAAATAAATAATATTATTATTATCTACAAAAATAATTAAATATTATTAGTTGATTAATACAATAAAAAATATTGTGATAATAAAAACAAACAAAATTTAAAAACCCAATGTAAAAATGTCAATTGTTTTTTTACCGATTATTTGAAGTACATATTTGACATTTAGGTTATATAATATATTTGTACCAAAACGGCATTATATTTATTATCACTTAAATGTTACCAAATATTAACATTTAAAAAATTCTTCATTTACTCACTCACTCACCCACTAAAGTGGTTTCAAATTCTTACTTTTTTATTTGACTGCTGAATAAAAAAATGATATTTTCAAACATATTTTTCTTCTATTGTTATTTAAATTATTTTATAATACCACAGTAAAAATGTATATACAGTATATATATATAATACATGTATTTAAAAGATTTTTATAGTAATACCAAGTAATATACAATTGAATTTTATCATGAATTTACACAATAGTTTTCTTTATAAATAGAATATATTTGTTGCAATTTTATGATTTATTTTTTGTCGATAATGCACATAAAGTACTACATATAGTGTACATTTGATACATACATGAATTCACATAAATATATATATATATACTGTATATATATTATATATATAAATTTACATTTGACTATAATTGTGTGTATACTACACTGCATTAGACGTTTGGTTAATATATTCCATTAAATATCGATATATGCAATATATTGTACAGTAAAATACTGTACTAAGTACTGTATAAATACTTTTTTATATATCAATATATTTTATAATCATAAATACATTTTATGCTGAGTACCACTAAACATACTCTCTCTCTCTCTCTCTCTCTCTCTCTCTCTCTCTCTCTCTCTCTCTCTCTYTCTCTCTCTCTCTTTCTCTCTCTTTCTCTCTCTCTCTCTCTCTCTCCAAACATTTGAGTCATACTTCTCATTCCCCTCTCATTTCAATCAACTCAATGATAATTGACGTCAATTTTTAACCTCAAGTTTAGAGTCGTGTCGATACACATATTAAAAAGAGTCGTTTTTATTACTATTATAGAGAAAAAAACTTAATTAAGCATTATTATTATTATTATTATAATTATGTCATTCATATTATATCTTATATATATTTCAAAATAATTTTGCTATTATTAGTAAAACAGCATTATTTTACTGTATATTTTTCAACACATAAAAGTAAAAATCATTTCCCATATATTTTTCACATTAAAAATACTGATCTAAAAAACGATTTTTTTGTTGTTACGAATAGATAACAACTAAATTGTTATAAACTATATATATATATATATATATATATATATATATATATATATATATATATATATATATATATATATAGAAATTCTAACATTACATATCAACTAACCATTTGTGTGCAAAAAATGATTGTCTAACTTAATTGTATGGGACAGTTGTGTCAAAATATTATATTTTTTGTAACTATTGTTATCAATAATTGTATTTTCATGTATTGTACGCTATTTCATACTGCATACAGTATACTATACACCATTATATTGTATTGTAATTATAAAATATAAATTTTTAAATAGAAAATAGTTTCAATTAAAAGATGGTATTTTAAAACAAACTATCGGTATTTATGTGTTAATATTTATTTATATATCAAAATAATTATTAATGTGTTATTATTACTATTATTTAAAGATATGATAGTTTATAAAAAAATTATTAATTAATAAATATTCCAAACAAATATCAACACTTTATTGTATTTGTATTTAATTGAAGTCAAAGTGTATATTCAGAGATTTATTTTAATTTAAGATAACATTTCTTGAATCTTAACGAGTATTTCCACTAAAAGCATTTGTAAGACGAGATATAATTAAATTCAGTTTGAATTTGGAAAACTTTATGATACATATAAATGTATTAATAGTTATGTTGTATATTGTTTGGTATATACAGTATATATATATATATATATATATATRTGTGTGTGTGTGTGTGTGTGTGTGTGTCAAACAGATTTCTTTTATGTAGTTATAATTGTATTGACTGGACATTTATATGTTTGAATAGCAGTACATACAGTATAATAGCGTATTTATATTTTCAATAGTAAACAAATAATAACTTATTAATTAATTGCATAAATTATGCTTATTGTTGTGATATATGAATTTTAACATACATAACATAGTCCAGTATTTATATATTTTATATGCACGCAATATACTATAGTAAAATATATTGAACTATTATTATACTGGCATTAAATTATTATAATTCATTAAAAACGTTAGTTATATAACAATATTGTAATATTTACTATAATGTATTATATAAATATATATATTTATGATATATATTATCAATTTTATTTTAATAATAATTTATTTATGTAAAACTTGCAATTGACAATCACTTGATTATTATTATATATATAATTAAAATGTAACTAAATGATCAGTTAATTAACACATTTAATGGACAATAGAAATTTAGTAATTTTGTATTTGTTATAATAAATTATATAATGTGTTTATACATATATAGTTATTTTATTTTTGTTGGTGTAATTGCTAATTTTGTTGTCTTTATTATCATTTAATTGAGA